TGAGGAATTCTGGGAGTTGAAGTCCAGCAATGCTAGCTTGAAATTCTGCAAGCTGGAATTTACAAATGCTGGCTGAGGAATTCTGGGAGTTGTAGTCCACCCATCTTAAAAGAGGCTGGCTGGGGAATTCTGGGAGTTGAAGTCTGCATGTCTTAAAGCATGCTGGCTAGGGAATTCTGGGAGTTGGAGTCCACCCATACTAGAGTTGCCATGGATGAGAAACACTGCCATAAAACTATCATTTCCAAACAAGAAGCTAATTTCTCTGTTGTTTATCTTCTGCCTTTCCGTCCCTTCATTTATGAGGCGGCATCAAAAGGCATTTGAGTTCTTTGAATACGCATAATATGCTCTGGTTGTTGGGGTGTGTGTGTGTGTTCAAAATATATATTGAATATTTTAAGAGAAAAATGTAAACAGAAAAAGGAGAGAAAAGATAAAGGAGGAGAAAAATAGAAACAGGTGAATAAACAAGAGATTTAGAGGTATCACAAAAGTTGTACTTCAGTAAATGATAAGGCAGGACTAGAACTCCCCATCTCCTGGTTTCTACGCCAGTACCTTAACCAGGAAGAATACACAAATCTCCCCTCGTTTGTCTCTTGCACAAACGAGATTTGCATTGGACTGTATCGATGCAGACGACACGAAATGGGGCAAAAACAAGAGGGGTGGCTATTGTGTTGTGTGTTTGTGGGTGTGGCTGACCATAGTTGCAGCTGGTGTTTTTTCATGGATGGAGGTTTTTTCCCACCTTCCAGAATTTGCTGAGGAAGGGAGGCCACTCCGAAGTGGACCTACTGCACTTCTGCAAAGGAAGCGGCGTGGAGACGGAGAACCTCTTGGTCATCGTTCGAAACGAGGACATTTGCTCACACATCCACAAAGTAGGTTCCAAACTCGCTTTCGGCTCTTTCTGGGAATTAATTCTCAGCCCTTTATCACCAACGGAGCCGGATTTCTGTCTTTTTGAAGTCCTCTTGGGGGAACGTAATAGATCAGGGGTGTCAAACTCAATTTCATTGAGGGCCACATCAGGGGAGCCAGGGAGGTGTGTCTGACTGGGTGGGCGTGGCCAGCTTGACATCACTCACTGAGTGTGGCCAACTGGGTAGGTGTGGCTGACTGGATGGGCGTGGCCAGCTTGATACCACTCATGGTGTGGCTGACTGGGTGGGCGTGGCCAGCTTGATACCACTCACTGGGTGTGGTTGACTGGGTGGGTGTGGCCAGCTTGACACTACTCGGTGTGGCTGACTGAGTGGGCGTCGCCAGCTCAACACAACACAACACTGGGTGTAGCCACCTGGGTGGGCGTGGCTGACTGGGTGGGCGTGACCAGCTTGACACAACTCAGTGGGTGTGGCCAACGCCACTCCCCAAACTGCTGGCATGTTTCTCTTCGCATTGGGTAGACCGGGCCAAAGCTATGCAGGCCGGGCCTTTATAGTTTCTAGGACGGCCCCTCCCTGGGCTGAATCTGGCCACATTGTGGGCCAGATTCGGCCCCCGGGCCTTGTGTTTGACCCCACTATTATAGATAATGGAATTACACAATGGAAAGGGACCTTGGAGGTCTTCTTGCCCAACCCACTGCCCAGGCAGGGGACTCTTCACCATTTCAGACAGGCGGTGGTCCCGTCTCTTCTTAAAAACCTCTAGTGACGAAGCACCCACCCAACCTCTGGTGGCAAGCTGTTCCACTGGTTAATTGTCCTCACCCTTAGGGAAGTTGCTCCTTAATTCCAGCTTGCTTCTCTCCTTGATTAGTTTCCACCCATTGCTTCTTGTCCTGCCCTCGGGTGCCTTGGAGAATAGCTTGACTCCCTCTTCTTTGGGGCAGCCNTTACACCTATCCTCCACGAGCTGCACTGGCTCCCTATCGGTCTCCGAACGCGCTTCAAGGTGCTGGTTATCACCTTTAAAGCCCTACATGGCCTACGACCCGGATATCTGCGAGACTGTCTTCTGCCACACACCTCCCAACGGCCGATAAGATCACACAGGATGGGCCTTCTCCAGGTGCCGTCGACTAGACAATGTCGTCTGGCGACTCCTTGGGGGAGGGCCTTCTCTGTAGCCACTCCAGCCCTATGGAACGAACTACCCCCAGAGATCCGGATCCTTCCCACTCTCTCGGCCTTCCGAAAGGCTACTAAGACCTGGCTGTTGACCTCATGAATGAGGTCCAGCCCCGCCTAGACTGAAATTTTTTAATTTTTATCTTTTTAGAGATTTAATTCTGTAAGTCGCCTGGAGTCCTTCGGGATTGGGCGGCATATACATTCATTAAATTTGAATTTGAATTTGAATTTGAACGAAGTCAATGTGGGAAACAGGATTCACTTAATAACTGCATAACAACTGCAGTGAACTGTGTAACAGCCATGGCAAAAAAAAAAGGGTGAGAATTGGGTGCAACTCACTTAACTGCCTTGTTAACAATCATGGTTATAAGTCAAGGACTATCTGTAAGGGTTTGTTTAGAAGAAACAGCAAGCTACAGAGAAATATTTAGGATTTTAAATGTTGCTAATTTCCAATAAGGGTTAAATCTGAGATTTTTCTCTTAGTCCAGAGAATTTATTTCCATTGATATAATATTATTCCTCTTTCTCTCAATCTTCTTATTTTCAAGAAAGCCGTAAAAGCACTTCACTCAATATCCTTCTGGCCGGTCCTAATGGAGAAATTGTCTGTCCATCACTCTTGAGATCTGTTGAAAATATAGATAATCCCAGGGAATTTCAACTAGCTATAGATGAAGAAGGTAAGGACACAAAACATTTGGTTTAAAAAAGAACAAATTGCTCATATAATGTAAATGTCACGTAACAGGAATGAAGAGTGTAGCCAGATTAATAGATCTTCAGGCAATATTGCTTTTGGTACTAACAAAAATGCTAATGTATGTGTTCATTTATGTAAATTATTGTTACTTAATGAGGAGGTGGAGCTAAGATAGGGAAGAGGCATCATCCCCTGTAAAGTGCTCCTCCAAAGGAGTACTTTTTTATCATCATACTTTTGATATTTGTTCAGTACAAGCAATATTTTCTTTGTAGTAAATCTCTAAATAAGTGTTGATCGGTTAATAATGTTCTATCAAATCAATAGCACTTAGCTTATATAGCATTTCACACTGCTTTACAGCCTCTCTCTAAGCGGTTTACAGAGTCAGTATATTGCACCCAACAATCTGGGTCCTCGTTTTACCGACTCGGAAGGATGAAAGGCTAAGTCAACCTTGAGCCGGTCAGGATCGAACTCCTGGCTGTGGATAGATTTAGCCTGCAATACTGCGTTCTAACCACTGTGCCACCAGGACTGTGCCAGTGTTGACTCTTAGCGACCATACTGAGAGATTTTCTCCATTGCCACTGTAATTGAGTCTATCCCAGTGGTGGGTTTCAAAAATTGTTTGAACCTACTCTGTGGGTGTAGCCTCCTTTGTG